CAAGATCTTGTGTGAAGCCCGAGGGAAGCTTGCAAAACAAGGAGTCCTCCCTGTTTTGCAAGTTTCCCTCAGGCTCAGTTGTGAGGGCTGGGAGATTCCGCTTCTGTCAGGAGAAACACAAAGGAATTTCCCGCCTTTCCCAGGCTGGGGACGCCTTGCCCCATTTTGCCGTGTTTTCTCCTTGGTGATGTCAGACAGAGCCGGCCCAAGGCATTTTGGTACCTGAGGCAGAAAATCCAAACAGCAGTCCAGTGTTTCCATCATGATGGTAATAATATTTTATTTGTTTATTTATTTTACTTATTTAACTTTCAATTTCTAGACCCGAAGGGCTCTGAGCGGTTTACACAGTACAATTAATTTACACTACCTCACTAGGGCCACATATTGAGGTGAAATGACTACCTAGCAGGCACCCACGGCAGGGTCTCTTGGTGGTTGTTTTTCTGCGGACGTTTTAATCCCCGGGTGATGACGTCTCGGCGTAGATCTTCCTCGACCGCAGCGACTCCTTCTGGGGACGGTCCCTCAATGCACAACAGCGCGCTGCCGCAGCTGGCCTCTGTCCTGATTGGCTCCGGCCTACCATGTTGCCTTGGCGCCGCGCCCTGCTGGCCCAATCTCCGTCTGGGCCGCTCGATTCGCCGCTGTTGCCGCCGCCATCAGCTGCTGTCGCCACCATTCTGCCGCTCAGCCACCGCCGCTCCATCGCACACCGAAGGGAAGGAGGGTGGGCCCCCCCCCGCTCTAAGAGCAGGTACCCATTCATCTACTCGCCCGTATGGGCTTTCAAACTGCTGGGTGGTTCAAAATAATAGTATGAAATACACGAAATAATTGGCTGTTCGTTGCCCTTCAGTGGTACATTCCCCCCTCCCCATTTCCTTCATGAGGCGGGTGACATTCCTGTCTGAGGCAGGTAGGTTGGCCTTGGTGTTCTTGGTACAGAAAACATGGAAGCTACGATGGCCATACTTCAAGAACAGTGGAGTGAAAGGGAGGGAGAAGGTGTGTGGCGCAAGTTGGGCAAGTCAAATCGAAGGCTTCGAGCAATGCTGAGGCATTCACAGGTACGTGTAAAGTAACCCACTGGCTGCCATGAGGTGAGATCCAATATCTGACCATTGCCCCGTACTTTGGTGACCTTCACATTCCACATGCCTGGAGATTACAGATTCATGAGGGTTTTATTTTAGACTCAAGGAGAATATGTCCCCACTTGATTGTGTCACCTGCTTAGGGGTGAGTGCTGAGGAGTTCCTGACATCCTGTCACCTCAGCGGTGCCAGGGGGCACTGTGGATGCCAACAGTTTAAGGCGTATGGGCGATAGCTCGGGGAGAGGAGCAGACAGGGAGGGTGTGCAGCCCACACCGTGCCCCCCTCCGGTGTCTCTGGCGCAAAGCAGTTGGGATTAGTGATGAAACACTGGCCATATTAATCTGAGCTCCCAGCTGTGAATCCAATCTGAGCTCTCACCGCTCTGACCTTCAGCCTACGCCGCTCTCACCCGACCGGCTTGAGCAGCAGCTGTTTATAGTAGGACTGTCGTCCAGCACTACGAAGCATCCTACGCATCTGTCTGTACTGGGATATTTTTATGGTGCTAAAAAAATTTCTTTCTTTCTTTCTTTCTTTCTTTCTTTCTTTCTTTCTTTCTTTCTTTCTTTCTTTCTTTCTTTCTTTCTTTCTTTCTTTCTTTCTTTCTTTCTTTCTCTCTTTCTCTCTCTCTCTCTCTCTCTCTCTCTCTCTCTCTCTCTCTCTCTCTCTCTCTCTCTCTCTCTCTCTCTCTCTCTCTCTCTCGTTCTTTCTAATGGTAGATTTTGCGTGCCAGTAAAGTAGGCAGTGCGGGAGACGGATCTGGCCCATGAGGCCCAATTCCCTCGCACCCTGTTCTACACAGAATAAGAACAAATTAATAGAAGAAGGTGGCCATGCCCCCTCCCCAAATAGGTCTCCTTTCCCCACATTCAGTCACATTGTCTTAGCATTGCTGATGTGATCAGAAGGTAATAGACTGGGATTGAAATGTCAGCTGTTCTTTTTCCCATTCACCTTTTCTTCTTTATATGCATTGTTTGCTGACTTTAGTGTTCATTGTTTAAAGAATTCATACATTTGAAGTGTGTGTGTGTGTGTGTGAGAGAGAGAGAGAGTGAGTGACAGAGAGAGAGAGTGAGAAAAGAGAGGTGTGAGTAGATTCCATACACACACGGCCGTGAGCTGCCCTGAGCCTGCATTGCAGGGAGGGCGGGGTATAAATGCAATTAATAAATAAAAATAAATAATAAAATACACTACCTCTGTCCCCGATCAGGTTTGCCAACTCCAGTTTAGGAAATTCCTGGAGATTTGGGGCAGATCCTGGAGTGGCCAGAATTTGAAGAGTTGGGGGGACTCAGCGGTCCACCCTCCAAAGCTTCCATTTTCTCCGGGAAACTAATCTCTGTAGTCTGGAGATTGTTGCAATCCCAGAAAAACTCCATCCCAGAAGAACTCCAGCGTCTCCTGAGAGACTGGCAACGCTAGTCCTTGTTTACCAGGGACATTCCCTGTTTTCTACCTCTTGTCATCCATTAAAGCCCAGTTTTGCTCATATATGTTCGTCTTTTGTAGTCATTGTGTTCAAATTTTGTTACTGTGAGTTGCTAGTTTGGTGAAAAGTGAGGTAATAAGATCCCCTCCAGCGGCCTGCCCGGGACTAACTTGTCTTTTGGCTCCTCTCCTCCCAAAGGGCTTCCATCAGGGCCATTTCATGAGTCATTTATGGAACAGTTTAGGCTTGCCAACCTCCAGGTGGGACCTGGGGTGCCCCAGATTTACAACGGACCTCCAGGCTACAGAGATCAGAGGCCCTGGAGAAAATGGCTGCTTTGAAGGATGGCCTCTATGGCATTATACCTTGATGAGGTCCCTCCCCTCCTTAAACCCCACTCCCAGGCCCCCCCCCCCAGATCTCCAGAAATGTCACAACCCAGAGTGGGGAATCTTAAAGAGTTATATGAATTAGTATTCTTCCTTTCCTCAAAAATGTAAGAGTTGTTTTGAAATGTGAACCTTGAATGCAATGGCAAAAAAGGTGATATATAAAAAAATAAAATATATAAATACAAAATCCCTCAAGGCTCAGGGCCCTTAGAAGGTAATGGGGCTTACTGCCAGGCAAGTGGTTTTAGTAGAGTTGCCAGCCTCCAGGTGGGGCCTGGAGAACTCCCACTTTTACAACTGATCTCCAGCTGACAGAGATCAGTTCCCCTGGAGAAAAGGGCTGCTTTGAAGGGTGGACTCTGTGGCATTGTACCATGCTGAGGCCCCTCCCCTCCCCTCCCCAAACCCCACCCTCTCCCAAAGTCTTCAAATATTTTCCAACCCAGACCTGGCAACCCGCTGTTTTAGGACTGTGGTGTAAAGGTTTATGTGTGTTACAGTTGCCAGCCTCCAGATTACGGCCTTGAGAGCTCCCAGAATTACAACTGATCTCCAAACTCCAGTTCCACTGGAGAAAATGGCTGCTTTGGAGGATGAACTCTATGGCATTATGCTCCATAGAGGTCCCTCCTGTCCCCAAACCTGTCCCTCGAAGAACTTCTCCATCCAGAACTGGCAACCCTAGTTAGTGGACACCTTGTGTCTAGTCCATATGTAGGTAAATGAATATGTTTGTGAAGGCATTATGCAGTGTACAAACTGTCATTTATCACACTGCAGCAGCTGAGGCCTTTTTTAGACTACTGGTATTGCGAGACAATTATAATTTTCAGTTCATCTTTACAAAGCAAATGATTACAATCTTGGCTTTTAATATAGTGGAAGCGAAACAATTTCAGAGTCAAAGGGTATGATATATGGTGTATGCAGAATACAGCCTTCACCAGTCTGAATGGGGGAGATGGCACTTGGGCAAGGATCCTCATTATGATGATCGGGATATTCTTTAACATCTTTATTTTCAGTTGTGAAATACTGGAGGGTGTGAGATTTGTCTGTTTCTTCTGTGAGTTTTACAACGCAGGACTGTAATGGATTAGATTTTTCTTTCTTTCTTTTAATGAGAACATTTGTTTCATGGCAGATTACATTTCACATACTTTGTTCACCTCCTTCATAAACACTCACCTTATTTCCAGCATTGCTGGCCCGTGATAAACCTGTCGGTTGCTTCTGCTGGAATATAAGACCCTGAGACAGGGTTTTCTCAGTCTGGACTTGATGAACAAGTTCCAAGGGTGTCAAGATAATTTTTAGTTTCTTGCATGGTGGGCTTAAAGAAAAAACACAGTCCTCAGGTGGCAAAGAACCCCATCCCCTGAATACTATACAGCAAGCCATAGACCCTACAGACCAGTCACTTTCAGTTCCATACCATCCACTGATCAGAATTTATAGAAACCTTCTTCCCTCTATATATTAAAGCGCCACAAGGATCTGCAGCTCATACTTCCCAGTACAAACATCTTTAGCAGAGCTCCATTAAGTTTGGCCCCTTGTCTCATAAAATAAACATTTACAATCCCATTAAGCCTCACCTGAACAATTAAAACCATAATTCCTAGGCCTCCCCCCCACCCCAGACAGCACTTTCCACCACCAAAGATCATGCAATGCCAAGGTTTGTTGGAGGCTTATATAACAGGAATTCCTCCTTCAAGTTTCTGATTTTGAAATTTGTTTTGGGTCACCATTCTACCTTCTGTAGCACTGCCCCCCGATCCCGTGAGTGGCTTGAAGGATCATGGGGAATCCCTCAGTTCATACCAGCCTGCCATTTTGGCCAACACACTAAAATATGACTTCTTCCTCCCATCTGTTAGAGACTCTAGCTTGTTCCAATCCAGGCCATTGAGACTTGGCCTGCCAAGTTTTTGGGGGGACAGGATGAATGATGTGTGAAAGTGTTAACCGTTGGCCAATGACCTCAGTGGCCCATCCATGCCAAGTGCTACATTAGCTGCTTTCTCCCACCATGACCCAACCCTCCTCAGTCAAAGGACATCAGCGGTGTCATGTGTTTGTGGCCACTTCGTTCTCCAGGCTCACCCGCCGGCTGGCCTGCTTCTCTTCCTCCTCCTCCTCTTCTTCACAGCAGCATCTGAGTGCCACTTCATTCTCATAGCAAAAGGAGGCACGGGTAGTGCTGACCCCTGCAGTGGGGGCCCTGTATTTGCGCTGGCTCAGCTCCTTAGCACTGCAAGCCGGGGTTCCCGGCACCTCATATGTGCGGTGGAAGTGCTGGTAGTCAATCTCATAGTGGCCACGCCGTTCAAAGAGCACGGGCTCAAAGCGGTGCCCCCAGCAGATCTCCCCCGGTAGGTAAGAGCTACGGCACTGTGTGGTCATTGCCGTCGCCTCCACCATGCCTTCCAAAATGACCACCAGTTCAAAGTCACCCTTAGCCAGCTCACAAGGGCCGTACTCATAGAAGGGACTTTCACCATCGATCTCATGGATGATTGTCACTGGTGACACCAAGAAGATGCGGTCAGTGCCACTGTCGAAACCCACGTTGACGTCAATGTGGTCCAGAGGAATGTATTCCCCCTCAGGGGTCACTCGAGGCTGTGGGGAATAAGGGAAAAAAATGGACTGTGTTTTGTAACGACCTACACGTAATGAACTGGTATACACAAAATACCGTTTGCAGTGACCAGCAGATGTTTTCATGATCACTACTGTTGCAATGGCCAAGATGTCTTCTGGCCACTGCAGACTGTATACAGCCCAATTCACCTTAAATCTCCTGCACACAGGGTATAGAAAAAAAAATAAGCATCTTGTTTGCGAGAGGGACTAGGCGTAGCTTTCAAAATAATGACCCTCTTCCCTTCCAGGCCCTTTGTAGTTTTCTCAACTAACTCATCCATCCATTTATTCCCTCCTGCCTGCCATCTGTTCTGCCCTTGCAGCTACTTGTATACCTTCCAAAGTATATTTTCCATATCTATTAATGACAATTAGCATAGATGGCTTTAAAAAGAGATCGCAGAGGGCAGGCCTATCCATGTCTATGAGCTCCGATTGCTAAAGGGCATCTTTGTGTTCAGAGGTAAGAGTGCCAGTACATCCCAGTTGCTGAGAGGCAATAGGAGGGAGGGACAGGCATTCCATGCCCTGCTTGTGGCCTTCTCCAGAAGTCTGATTGGCCACAGTGTCAACTGGATATGAGGCTGTGGCCAGAGGTCATTTCGGGGGGATCGCGGGGGATCGCAGTTCCCCCGGGTGAGGTACGGGGGGCGGGTCACATGACGAAACCCCGCCCCCTGCTTCCGGCCGCCCTGCTTCCGGCCCTCATTCAGCCAGGAGGAGGCAGGAGAAGAGGGAGGGTAAGTTGCTTCCTCCCTGCCTCTCCCCACCCCTGCCTGCCTGGGGCCAGGGAGGGCCTTCGCGGGGCTTCCTAGCACTCCCGCCGGCCTTGGAGGTCCACCGCCGGGCCCCTCATGGGGCCCGGCAGTGGAGCTGCAAGGCCGGCGGCGGCGGCCGGGACCGTTGGGGGCGGGGTGTGTGGCCTTATGACACACTTCCGGTGATGTCAGGGGGTGTGGCATATGCTAATGAGTTATGCTAATGAGTTCCCCTAGCTCTTTTTCTACGAAACGACCCCTGGCTGTGGCTCAATGGTAGAGTATCTACTTGGCATGCAGAAGGTCCCAGGTTCAAGCCCCGGCATCTTCAGTTAAAGGTTCTGGCAGGAGGTGATGTGAAAGACCTCCGCCAGAGACCCTGGAGAGCTGCTGCCATTCTGAGTAGACAATACTGACTTTGACAGACCGATGGTCTGATTCAGTATAAGGCAGCTTCATGGGTATTCAAACCATATGGGCCTCCTGGCCTGAGCCAGAGGGACTCTTCTTATGCCCATCCATCTCCTCACAAACTTTTCTGCCCTTATCCTACCTACAGACCACTCCAAACAATTAACCTTTGACCCAGCCAAGAATAAGCAGGATTGGTGCCCTGGGAAGCCTAGCCTGTGTTGTGTAGACAAACTGGTTGTAGGAGGGTTATTGGCAGGTAAACACACATGACATCCATCTCCCTTGCTCTTCCCTTGTCTAACATCATCCCATTCATCTATTTGTCAACCTGGTCTTTAGTTTATATGTCTAGATTTAGTAATCCCAGAGGAGTCAGGTGTACGTTCAAAGGGGACGGCAAAGGATGAGATGGTTAGACAGTGTCATAGATGCAACGAACATGAAATTGAGCAAACTTCAGACGACGGCGGAAGACAGGAGGGCCTGGTGAGATCTTGTCCATGGGGTCGCGAAGAGTCGGACTCGACTGTGCGACTGAACAACAACAAAGATACACTCAATGACTGACACCTCTTGTAGACATCTAACTCCTGCCCCCTTGTATCGTGTACGTGTACTTCCCCTTAGCACCCTCCTTACCCGCAGTAGCTGTGCCCGGACATGGGCTTCCACCAGATGGCTCTTGCGCAGGTTGGCCACGCGCCACATCAGGCAGAGCTTGCCATCGCGCATTGCCACCACAGCAGTCTCGCTAAAGACCAAGGTGCCATTGCGCTTCTTGGGCTTGGCGATCTTGGCCATGATGGCGCCAACGATGAAGGCATCGAGGATGCACCCTGCTATGCACTGCATGACGACAGCCACCACGGCAGCCGTACACTCCTCTGTCACGCTGCGGAAGCCGTACCCGATGGACGTCTGGGTCTCCAGAGAGAAGAGGAAGGCGGCCATGAAACTAGTGACCTCAGAGAAGCAGGGTTTGGGGGCCTGTGGGAACTCAGGACCCAGATCCCCATGTAGCGCAGCTATGAGCCAGAAGGTGAAGCCAAAGAGAAGCCAGGAAAGCACAAAAGAGAGGCAGAAAAGGACGAGCATCCATCGCCAACGGATGTCCACACAAGTGGTGAAGATGTCAGTGAGGTACCGCTGGCCCTTCTCACTCATATTGATAAACTGCACGTTGCAGTGACCATCTTTCTTCACGAAACGGCTGTGCGGCTGGGTGGGAACAGGCTTGCCATTTGGGCAGCTGATGGGGGTTTCTGCCGCCTCTTCTTCTCGCAGCTCCCCAGACCCACCACCACTGCTAAGACGGCGGATGGCTTGGGCTACCCCCATCTCTGAGGGGCTGGCCTTTGTCCCGGCCAAGGCTAGGCCGGGCTTGGGGGACTGGTGGCCCAGCCTGTGTATTGTGCCGGACAAACTGACGACTGAAGAGGTTTTAGCGGGTGACGCTGTGGCACGGTTGAAACACGCGGCTTCTGGGCAATCTGGAAAAGGAAAGGGGAGAGTGCTTACTAAGACTGTAATGCTTTAGACCGCTGGCCTGAAGGGCTTCTGTACTGGGGTTGCCAAGCTCTAGGTGGGGCCTGGAGGTCTCCTGGAATTACAACTGACCTCCAGACTACAGAGACAGAGTCATAGAATCATAGAGTTGGAAGGGACCTCCAAGGTCATCTAGTCCAACCCTAGTCCACTAGGGCTGCCAAGTCCCCCCGGGGGGCAGAAATCCCCCCGCCCCAGAGGCCCATTCCCCGACGCCGGGGAATCGGGCCCCGGGGGGAACCCCGCCCCAGCGTACACATCACAGGGAAGTGACGTTATGATGCCGGGCACGCTGGGGCCGGGGCCACGGCCATACAAGGGAAAACTCTATGGTTTCCCCTTGTATGGTCATGGCCCCGCCCCCAGCATGCCCGGTGTCATGACGTCACTTCCTTGTTACGTGCATGCGGGAGCCACTCCAGGGTCCCCCGCCGGCAAGGTAAGTTGGACTTGGCAACCCTACCCTGCACAAGGCAGGAAATTCACAAATACCTCCCCCTCCACACCTTCAGTGACCACTGTTCCACGCCCAGAAGACGACGAAAAACCTCCAGGATTTCTGGCCAAACCACCTGGAGAAAATGGCTGCTTTGGAGGGCAGACTCTATGGCATCACATCGCTGATGAGCTCCCTTCCCTCCCCAGACTCCGCCCTCCCCAGACTCCACCCTCAAATTTCCAGGAATTTCCCAACCCCGAGTTGGCAACCCTATTCTGTACGTGAGCAACCCCCGACCTTACACTCCCTGAACTCATTTAAGTCGCTGATTTGTCAAGGGGATGATTAGAAGCAGAAGAAAACCAAAAGTGAGGAGAATCCCTGGGACTGCTGCCTCCCTCTCCTCCACTTCCTCTTAGGAGAACCCCTTTCCCACCTTTAGCAACCTTAATGTAAAGAGGCACGTGGATCCTGTCCTTGCGATTCTGCGAACGAAACAACCTGCTAACTTGCCGTCCTGGGGCAAGCTCAAAGCAACACTCAAGTCTCACACTGCTTTCTCCTTGCAGGGAGCTCAGCTTCTGTCACACGTCTCATTGCTTTGAGAAGGTCTACTTTTGTCCAGTAGCCAAGCCTGTTTTTCTTTCGAATTCTGCATTGTGCAAAATATATTAAGAGCATAAGAACAGTCCTGCTGGATCAGAGACACTGTGGTTTTGGTCGGTAGTTCACGTCTGAAATTAGTGGTGGCTATATTCCCAGATTTAAAAACCCATGATCTTCAGGGAGCAGAATGTGGTCACGTGGTGCTAAAAGTAATGCTCAGTGGCAGTGTTTCCTCTAAACTGAGATAGTGTGTTCTAGCTCACAGTTTTTAAGCTTCCAGCTCACACGTTTTTGTCTTAGCTCAGGCAGATGGCTCCAGAGCAAACTAATTTATACAAGTAACCCAATCGCTTGCTCACAACTTTAATGCGAGTAGCTCACAAAGTACAATTTTTGCTCACAAGACTCCACAGCTTAGGAGGAGGAGGAGATTGGATTTATACCCCGTCCTTCACTACCCAAAGGAGTCTCAGAGCGGCTTACAAGCTCCTTTCCCTTCCCCTCCCCACGAGAGACACCCTGTGAGGTAGGTGGGGCTGAGAGAGCTCTGACAGAAACTGCTTTTTTACAAGAACAGCTGTGCCAGAACTATGGCTTGCCCAAGGTCATCCAGCAGGTGCAAGTGGAGGAGTGGGGAATCAAACCCGGTTCTCCCAGATTACAGTCCCCACACTTAACCACTACACCAAACTGGGAGGGAGCATTGCTCAGTGTACATATTCCAGGGACAAACTATGACACTGAAAAGAGGTTCTGGGGAAACAAAACAAAACAAAACAAAACACCCTTGCTGCTTAAGGAGGCTTTAAGATAAATAAGTAACTTGGGCCACAGGGAACAGACAAGAAAAAACACAGCTATGCAACTTTCCCTCAAAACGAGAACCTGGATATGGCATTAACGGTGCAATCCAGTCTAAAAAGAACAGCCTCACATTTCTTACGGTAAGCAGATAGCATGAGCCCCCTCTGTGCCTTCTCGAAGAGGGCATTTTATAATGCTGGGGCTCCCAACAGTCGTGTGGCCCAAAGGATGGCTCAAAATGGATGACCCAGCCAGGAGGAGGCCCTGGGAGGATCCGAGGCTCAGAAAAACAAGCGAGAAACTAGGACACAAGACTCCAGGCAAGGCACCTTTGCTTATATATGCATATTTATGATATATTCCTTGAATACACAGACCCTGGGCATGCCTCAGTGAGGCCATTGTGCCGGAGGGCTGCCAGCCACCTTTGAGAGCCCTGAGATGTTATCCTCGGTGTGGGACGAGCCCTGAGCTGTTTACAACAAGGTGCAACCAGAAGCTATTGCAAGTGGAGGAAAGAAGGAGCTGCCTAAAGCCCTACTTCCCCATTTGCTCCCCCAACACACCCCTGCCACAGGGATGTTTATGCTCCCTGGCTCAGAACCACCGGACTAAGCCACAGTTCAACTGAGGGTTGTTGTCAGTTCCCCCCTGGTGGGGGAGGGGGATTAGGGTTGCCGGATCCAGGTTGGGAAACTCCTGGAGATTTGGGGATGCAGCCTGGAGAGGGCAGGGAACTCAGTGGGGTCCAATGCCACAGAGTCCACCCTCCTTTCCTTCAGGGGAACTGATCTCTGTAGTCTGGAAATGAGCTGTAATTCGGGGTGGTGGTGTCCCCAGGTGCCACCCGGTGGCTGACATCCCTATTTAGATTTATGATTCAATTGGATTTCTAGTCCGCCCTCCCCCTGCACAGCAGGGCTCAGGGCGGATTACAACAATGTTCAGCTTGATGTAACAAAACAGACAAAAGGTGGCTCCTTTAAATGCACTCGACCGGCTTTCCAATTTTTACAATTCCTCCTTGTCCCCCCACACTTTAGTCCAGCAGATCTCCTTTCCTAGACAAGCCCTCATAAAGGAGCGTCCTTACCTGGCTTCTGTTGTGTGGTAACCGGGCAGCAAGTATGAGCCCGTCTTATCCCCGGTGGGGTCCAGAAACTCTATCTTCTCTAGCATCCACGGGCAGTTAATATATCCTCTCGGAGCAAAAGGGAGTGGCGGGGAAGTCGCTTCCGCTTGTGCCTCAAGAGTGAGACCCTCAGGCTTTGCTGCACAAATTGCTTACGAAATAAATTTCCAGCTGCCCCGAGGCAAAGGAATTAGTCAAAGCAGGGCGCTTTTTTGGAAAAAGAGGTTCTGGGACTCACAAGGGGGAAATGAAGTTTTCAATCTGTATACTGAAAACTCATGCACTTTTAACCAATTTAAAAAATAATTTTGTCAAAGAGGTTTGAAAAGTACTGGGTTCGCCGCATGGAGGACTCGCACAACGACATGCTGTAGCACACGTTTATTGTACTTCACATAGACAAAGACAACTCTAACGGCCAACAGGGCCAACTATATACATATCCACCCAGCAACCCCCCCGCTCCCATTGGAGGGTTTGAATGTCCCGCCAAGGTGGCTATTGGTTGGGGCTGGGGAATCCAGGATCCGAAGTTTCCTTTGTTATCGGATCCAACCTCTGGCCTGTCCACGGACCCCTGGAGGCGGTCCACATACATATCAAGGTTCTGGAACTCTGTTCCAGTGCGTTCCCCCAGGAAAAAGGCCCCAAATCAAAGCCACATTAAGTGCCTCAAGATGAATAAGACTGCACATGGAAGAAGGAAGGCCGAAACAGTCTTCTTAAGGAAAAGGGACAGCAGTTCCTGAGTGTGAGAGAAGGTATTGGGCCAATAGTGCATCAATACTCAAAAGCATTCAATATGTTACTGGCTTAGCATAGCCCACTCTATTGGACTCACATCCAAGACTGCTTAGAAGGGCAACTTTGTTCTCCAGTGTTCACTGCCTGCTTGCAGCAGATTCTAAATGTTGTCAATGATTTTTTGTATTTGAACAGTACTTGGTCCACTGCTTTTTAACTTGTTCATTAATGATTTGGAGTTGGGAGTAAGCAGTGAAGTGGCTAAATTTGCGGATGATACGAAGTTGTTCAGGGTGGTGAAAACAAGTGAGGATTGTGAGGCACTCCAAAGGGATCTGTCAAGGATGGGCAAGTGGGCGTCAACATGGCAAATGGGATTCAATGTGGCCAAGTGCAAGGTGATGCACATTGGAGCCAAAAATCCTAAATATAAATACACACTGATGGGGTCTGAACTGGCAGAGACTGATCAAGAGAGAGATCTTGTAGTAGATATTAGCTATTAGCCAGAAGGTATAGATAGGGACTCTGGGGCAAGTGATGCTCTGTCTTCTTGGTGCTTGGGGGGGGGGGCAACAGTGGGAGGGCTTCTAGTGTCCTGGCCCCACTGGTGGACCTCCTGATGGCACCTAGTATTTCTGCCCACTGTGTGACACAGAGTGTTGGACTGGATGGGCCTTTGGCCTGATCCAGCATTGGCATCTCTTATGTTCTTATGTTCTTAACAAGGGGCTGGTAGTTATCTGGATTAATAAATCCAGATAATAAAAAGAAGGTGTGGGATGCCTTTGTGCATGCATTCCTAGAAGCACCAGGAATCTTGATTTTTAAGCCTCCCTTCCCTTCCTTATCTGTCTGATCTCCTATCCCTTCTTCTTGCTGTTTCTCCTGCTTTGCTGCCTTCAGCCATCTGAAGGACACCAGCTCCCTTGAGCATCTTTGCCCTGGCTTTCTTGCTGCCTCTTACACCTGGAATTCCTTTCCCAGAACGTGCAGTATACGATGTCACCAATACTCTCCCCCATAATCGACGTTGTTTCCAAACCACTGTACTTATCCCATAGTAGATCTCAGCCTCACCTCCCCCTATTTTACTATAACCTCCACCTTCCTCTGTTGCTTCCCCTGCATGGAATTTTAGATTGTAAATTC